CAGTTTAAGATGACACTTTTAAAATAAATTCTCTCCTAATGATGACTTGAGCCCTGCCACTCGATGGGAGAATCAGCAGAACCTGTAGGATCTTATTGGGAATTGACATTCTCTATTGTAATTTTGTTCCTGTTTATTTTTAAATTTTCTTTTTGTTTCACTGGAAAGGAAAGATGATGCTCAGTTTTCAACGTTAAAAGTGTACAAGTTGCTTTGTTACAATAAAACTAAATGTATACACAAAGGATTTGATGCTTTTCTCTCAGAATAGGTATACTTGCTATGACCCTTCCGTGTTTGGCTTGTATGACATCAGTGGGAAACTTTGTCACTCTAACTTCATATTTTTTGATACGCACTTTGCAGGATGACCTCAGGGCTATATGGGTTGAGTAACAGGATTTGAATCAATGTATTAATATCTCCATGGCTGGAAAACATGGGGTATAGTTTACCATTTGTTTCTGAAAATACAGAATTCGGAATGCCGGATTGTTCAAAACTCAGTTCTGACTATTTTAAAAACTGGCCTTTTACCTGGATATGAAATACTAGTGCCTGCCATGACTATCAGACCTGGTGCTCTGATGCCAGAGTATATATGGAACAATACTGACATGGCTTCGTTGACTCTCAGAAGTCCCCGTTGGTTAGGAGTCCCTTTGTCCCAGCTCTGGCATAGAGCTCTCAGCCATGATTGTTCATCTGGATGGGATGATAGACTTGGCTGTGTCTGCTCAATGCCATTGTGCAGAGACCCAAATACGTGTTTTTCAATGCTGTAAAATACAGTAGCTGGTCAAATTCAAAGTTTTTTGATGTGTAAAACTTGATAAATGAACTATTCCATCAGTAGGCAAAGTTACAAAAACCTGTCAAGATGGGTAGTGTGTTAATTTCTGCACAGGTCTGTTTAGTAAATACATCACTGTATGCTGGTCAGGAATCTTGATCCAATAAAGGAACGTAAAGTTTTTTTTGGACTGGGATCATTCTCCTTGTTTTGTAGAGAAATGTTACTTGCTTGGACTGGGTCATTCATGTTTTGTAGAGAAATGTTACTTGCTATTGAGTTTAGAAGATAGTTTTTGTCTTGTTTGAGTCTTAGTGACTGGGGGAGGGGAAGCTTCGAGCTAGTCACCATAAAAATGGACATGTTCTCTATTTGGAGTGTAGTAGACAGCTTATGAGGGCAAATAAAGCATTTTGACTTTGAAGTTTCACCATTAAAAGAACTTTTTGCTATGAAAGTAAGGCTAAAACAGGATCCTTATCCCTAGTTTCAGTGGCACGTGGTCAGTTCAGGTCTGTAGGGGACATTTTCACATAACTTAAAGCATATTGTTAAAATTGTTCTATTTTATTATTGCTAACCTCTTACTGTGCCTAACTTGTAAATTAAATTTTACGATGTGTACATACAGGAAAAATCGTCGTGTATATATAGATCTTGGCACCATCCATGTGGTTTCAGTACATCTTAGAATGTATCTCCTGAAGAATACTGTAGTAGTTGGAATATTCACTTAAGCCCGTGATACTGTTTCAGAAAGTTGTATCTCCTGAGGTTAGGGGGAGGCTACTGTAGTCATTTGACTTAATGATTCGCTTAAGCCTGTGATAGCTTTTCATAAAGTAACTGCTTAAAATAACTGGTGCTAGCTGGGCTTGGTGGCTGAGCCTGTAATCCCGTGCTTTGGGAGGCTGAGGTGAGTGGATTGCCTGAGCCCACGGGTTC